GGGGTCAGTGCCAGGAAGGCCTGTGCACAGTGTGTGGAATGTGGGCGTTTCTGGGCCCAGCATCCATAAACCTCATCAGGGGTTCCCGATCCTGAGAGCTAAGGTGGCTGCCAGTGGAGAGGGAGCATCGTCCCGACCGCCCCACGGCCCTGCCTTTTCCTTAGACAACCGCGTGCAGACGCCAGTGTGGGCGCCCCACTCCACCCGCCCTGCAGTCCCGCCAGACCCCTCTTACTTGGAAGCTGTTGGGATTCTCATTTGTGTAGAGAAGAAACCGGGTGTTGATGTCCTTGGGGGACCAGGGGGATAGCTTCAAGGGCCGCTGTACGATCCCTGTCCAAGGCTTCTCATCGGGGAAGCAGCCGAAAGGTGGATAGCAGACCTCCTTTCCTGGAGCAGAAAGAGCAGCACAGGGGACACTGTGAGCTCAGAAAAGGAGCGACCTCGCCTCAGCTACACAGGAGGCGTTTCAGGGTGCAGCCCGGGCTGGCGAGGCCAATGCTGGGCTCCACCAGCTGTCAGTGCTCCCCAAATTCCACAGAGACACGGATCGCCTGTGCACACTCCCAGCGCCTCCCTGGGCGATTCTGATTTGCAGGGAGGGCAGGGGGGCACCGGAATCCGCTTGTTTCATGCTGTTTTCACCCTGATCATCAGGCCAGAGGGGGATTGGCTAAGCTTCCTGGCAAACTTCTGCCTTAAAACTACCTCTTCCGGGAGAGCCCCAGACGCCCCTTTACATGCCATCACCCGGAATCAGGGATGATAGCGCCTGCGATTCTGTAGCACAGAGATGCTGCTGAGTGGAGCCTGATGCTGGCGCCACACCCAGCACAGCAGCCGATCCTGGGTGCAGTCCAATCCCTCTGTCTTCATGTCACCCCTTGACGCACATTGTCCCCCAATTATTCTCTGCCATTTCAGGTTTTCCCTGTTGTTCTCAGAAAAGGTACATTTCTTAAGGCCAGGGTTGACTGAGTTTTGCATCATTCTGTATAGAGTAGGGGCTCAATACATGCAACCAATGATCCAAATAACCTCGTCCAAATCTGAGGGTCCTGCCTCTAGTCTACAGCACAAGCATTTTCACAGAGAGTGCCTACTGAGGGCGCATACTCAAATCTAGAGTATTTAAATGTCTCTTTTCCCTTAGGCTTCCTCAACTCCAAAACGGATGGTGCCAGAGGCTGGCCATTCACTCAAACACTGACAATAGTCATCAGTTTTTACCACCTGAAGCAAGAGTAGACTGTTTACTCTGTGCCAGATACCACACTAGCACTTCACCAGCATTATTCCCTTTAAGCCTCAAAATAGCCCATGAGTAAGGAATTACTTCCATTTTACAGATGGGAAAACCAAGGCACAGAGAGACAAAGTAAGCTGCCCAAGGTCACAGCCAATGGTGGGGCCAGGATTAGAACGGGGGGAGTTTAATTGGGAATAAAGCTAGGCACTGAGGGGATAGATACATCAGGTACAAACCCTGCCTTGAATGAGAGGTAATCTAACAGGAAAGGAATCATGATGACCTTGACTTCCTTCCAGGAAGAGGGACCAGTCCCAGATGAAGGGATGTGGAGACTAAAGCAAGTCTTGCTTCAGGTCGTAAATGCAGGAGCTTGAAGGCCAGGGTCAGGCACCATGGCTGTTAGGTGGATAGTGAGTGGGAGGTACTGGTGAGTGTGGTGGGGCTGGTGCTCCATGAAGGTGTTTTCGGGAACCCAGTGTGGGTGGCTCAGAGGCAGGAGAGCCTGGGAGAGGTGGCGGTTGGAGTGGGGCAGTACAGGGGTGGTGGGTCTGAGAGGAAACAGGCATTCTAGTCTTGGGTGACAGTGGAAATGAAAAGAAGGGTGGGGAGATGGGGTAGGGAGTGGTGCCTGAGCCTGGACAAGTGAGTGTGAAGTGTGGTGGGAGGCCCTGGTGGAGCTGCCTGGAAATTGGAGTGGGCAGGAGGGGATGGGGGGGGTGTGGGGAGCAGAGGCTAGGCAAAGGGGAAGCCACAGGAAAAGGGCAAGGAGACGACGGGAGTGACCTCTTTGGGACGCCCACATTTAGGGCTGGAGGATGCAGCAGAGGAGCAAAGGAGACCAAGAGGGGCCTTAAAGGCCAAGGTAAACAGGCATTCTAGTCTTGGGTGACAGTGGAAATGAAAAGAAGGGTGGGGAGATGGGGTAGGGAGTGGTGCCTGAGCCTGGACAAGTGAGTGTGAAGTGTGGTGGGAGGCCCTGGTGGAGCTGCCTGGAAATTGGAGGGGGCAGGAGGGGATGGCCAGGGGAACAGAGGCTGGGCAAAGGGGAAGCCACAGGAAAAGGGCAAGGAGACGACGGGAGTGACCTCTTTGGGACGCCCACATTTAGGGCTGGAGGATGCAGCAGAGGAGCAAAGGAGACCAAGAGGGGCCTTAAAGGCCAAGGTAGCAGCCAGACCCGGGTGGGCTCTGCTCTCTGGAGTCAGGTCCTGCTGCATGGCCAAGATGGAAGGGAGGCCAAGAGTGGGCTGGGAATGTGAGGAGGAAAGGAGGACTCATGGTGCAGAAGGTAGCCCAGCAGAAGGGAGACCAGAGAAAAGGCTCAGATTGGAGCTTGGGAGACAGAGGTGGCAACAGTGAGAGGAGTGATGGGGAGGGAGGGACAGTTCTCCATGGGACATCCATGTAGCTTAGGCTGCAGACACAAACTTGTCCACGCAAGGGACTGAGGACTTGGGGGCCTGTCGAGAGCACCATCCCCCAACACCGTTGCCCAACAGCCTACCAATTGGGTCACCCCATCACAGCCAGTTGCTGGAGGAAAAGGGCGGAAGGGTCCCCAGGGTCATCTGTGTCCAAGATGTTGCCCTGTGTTTGCTTCAGCATCAACACTCCCCAAAAGGTGGCAATTGTAGTTTTTGTTGAAATAATGATAACGCTGTTCATTCTGATGACAATGATGATGAGGCCTCTAGCTGCCCCACCCAGAGGCCAGTCCAGGCAAGGTCCCTTCCTCCCCACGGGGATGGGACAGCACCCTCACCTCTGACGGTGGCCAGCAGGAGGAGGCCGACGATCCAGGAGGGCAGCATCTACATGGATGAAAACACAGACAGTGGGATCCACCGCCCAACCCAGGCAGGGCAGGGGGCCTGGAGCCCAGGGAAGCCCGGTGCCTGGGTCCCATCAGGCTGTGCCTCCAGGTGGGAATCCTGAGGCTGAGGCCTCCCCACGCAGGGATATGGCAGCACCTCTGTGGAACCCAGATGCAGGATCCTCCCAGCACAGTGGCTGCTCCCTCTGGGCCATGTTCCTCTGGCTGCCCACCCCTGCCAAGCGCCCTGCCCGGGCAGAGCCATGACTTACTGTGTGACACCTGTGCTCCTCTCAGCCCCCGGGTGGCCGTGGGCTTTTATAACCAGGCTTTGCCCTTTGGACTCTTTAGACGAAAGGACAGGAAGATCGATAAGTGTCCTTTGCACCGAGATTATCATAAACACATACAGTCAGCTGAGCGGGGAGCAGAGGTATTTAAAGTGAGATCAGAGGGGAAAAAAACAGACTTTGGGGACAGGTGTTACATTGGAAATCAGTGAGCTGAACAGAGGACGCCTTAATCAGTAAGTCAAATTTGGAGTCTTTATTATGCCGGAGGTCTCAGATGTGTTATCTCCAGAGTCTGAGCAAACTAATATGGAGGAAGCTTTCCCTTTCCCAGTTCCTTTTTCTCCTAAATATGGGGTTTCCAGATCTTTTGCCGGCTTTACAAAGAGCCCTACGTGGTGGGAGATATTTTGCAGGAAGCTCGTAGCCTTGAGCACAGTACCATTTAGATAACTCAAACACACCTGGCATGGCAGTAACCAGGGATGGCAGCAGAGCGGCTTGCAAGGCCAGGTAATTGAGCTTCTTTTCCCTATTATTTGAGCAAGGGTGTTTACAGAACCAAGAATAGCAGAGTGAATTCATAGAACAAAGGACCATCTATCTTTAGTGGACAATTTCAAATAGCAGTTTTTGCAACATGGAGGTTATGGGAGCAAGATGGAGTGCCTATACTTCACAGGAAGAGACCCCATTAATCTGAATCTACAGGTCCAGCTGCCAAAAGATTGTGTTTCTGAGGTGAGAAGAGGGAACACCAGCCTCCTGTTCAGAATCCCTTCGGAAACAGGAGCCAAAGCCCGTCTTGGTGCCTGTAGGTGTTGGCAGGAATGGGGTCTGCAGGTTTGCTGTTCCTAGAAGGCACCTGGGTATGAGGACACGCTTGTCTTCTTCCCCGGGGGTGGGCTGGGTGCACAGCCGCCGCCAAAGGACCTGGACAGAGAACAAAAGCAAATGCAATCCTTTGTTGAGCAAGAAAGAGTCAAACAAACTTTGTTTAAAGAGATAGCTCTGTTTGGAAACCATATAGTCTATTTCCTAAGAATTTCTATGCTGCGTGGACTGTACTTTGACCTGGAGATAAGAAGGTTGAGGTGGCCCAGCCTGCCTCTTGCAGGATCAGGGATGAAGCCCCCAACCCGGACATGTGCCCTGACCTGGAATCGAACCGTGACCTCCTGGTTCATAGGTCCATGCTCAACCAGTGAGCCACAGCGGCCGGGCAGAGTTTCTCTTGCTCACTGAATTCCAGGCGCACCAGCCGGGCTGGACTTGTGTAAAGTTTTTGAAAGTGCCCACCCCAGGGTCTTTGCATATTCTGTTTCCTCCTCCCAACACATACCATCCCCACTCTCTTCTGACCTAAGTCAAAGTATCCCCCCTCCTCCAAGAAGCCTTCCTCACTGCCCAGAGTGGGACCAGTTCTTCCTTTACATTCTAATCACATTCCCATTATCCTTCCATGGAACATATCCCGGCTGGTAATCGTATTTCAGTGACTATTTGTTTAGACCTTGCCTTGGTGGGAGGGTCGTTGTGTGGATGGTCATTTTTAAAAAAATATATATTTTATTGATTTTTCACAGAGAGGAAGAGAGAGGGACAGAGTGTTAGAAAAATGTCTTCCTCGCTGCCCAGAGTGGGACCAGGTCTTCCTTACAATCTAATCATGTTACCATTTTCCTTCCATGGAACATATCCCTGCTGGCAATCATATTTCAGTGACTGTTTGATTCAAACTTGCATTGGTGGGAGGGTCGAGGTGTGTATGGTCATTTCTGTGTGGCCAGAGCCTAGCACAGCCCCTGGCAGGTACCTTGATCACCATTGGATCAGGCATTGCTGGAGGAAAGGATGGGACCTTGGAAGCTAATGACTCATGGGCTGGTGAGCTGGGTAACTTCTAGATCTCTCCTGCCTCCCCCTCCCTGGCCTGTGGCCAGGAGGATGCTTCTGTGGCCTCCCTTGGCCCTCTGGTTATGTTCATCCAATGGGAGGCGCCTCAGGGAGATCAGAGGGGAGGAGGAAGGGTAGAGTATGTCTACCCAGGCTCCCTAACATCTGTGCTGGCATTGGGCAATGTTGTACTTCTGTCCTGAGGACTGCAGTTCCTCTCAAGTAGTGCCCTCCCATGACCCCAGCTCCTTCCATGTTCCTATGACAGCTCCCTCCCTCCCTCCGGGCTTCAGGCCACCAGGATGTCAGAGTTCCAGCTGCTGCTGAGCCCTGTCCACCTCTGTAACTAGTCCCTTTGATACGCCCTTTGAGTGGGCCATCTCTCTGCCTCTGAGGCCCTTCACAGGGAGGGAGGATGTGGTTCAGAGGCCTGGGGTCCATCTGGGGACATTAGCTAGGCTCTGGGCACCTTCCTTTCGTCACTCCATAATGAGGATTTCAGTCCTTATCAGGGAAGGGTTCAGAATTGTGTAGTTGTTGGGTTTCTGGTTTTGCAGCCCACACTAGTAGCAGACAACCTATTCTGTGGTTTGGTTGTAGTTTTGGCCAAAGGTTTAGTACATTATCTTCACATAGTCAGTTGGTCCCATCACCCATGCCCTCCTGGTTCCAGCCACAGATTAGTCTAGGAATCAGGGAACTGCTCACCTGAGTGGCTTTTCATCTAGTCAACAGCCACCACCAGAGGGCTGAGCTGGAGAGGAAGGGGAGGGTGTCAGTTCATCCTTGCTATGTCCAGGTCACCATGCCCTGTTCTACATGCCAAGGGCAGATGGTGGTCACCCATATCCTCGAGGGACTCACTGTGGCAGATTTGTTCACTATAAGGAAAAACTTTCCAAATCTTAGAGTCATTGGAAAATAGTTTCTCAGTGGGGTTTGCTCCCTGTCTCACCTGGATAACATTATGACTTGAGCAGAAGCGGACAGAAGCCAAGAATCAGGTGAGGGTCGATTAGAAGATCTACTTTGAAGGTTCTTTTCAAATCTGGGATCCTACAAGAAATTTTGGAAACTGAAACGTAGAGAAAAGACTTTCCCTTTCCATTCAAGCAACAGTCACCCGTGGGAGCACACCATCCAAACCCCCCTTCCCAAGGATAAGAAATCACCCAAGAGGTGACAAAATCAAAGGTAATGAGAATGAGGTGAGCAAACACATCTGGGGAGTGTAACCCCAAGGACAGGCATTGAGGGCTGAGCATCGGAAAGGAGTTGGGTGGCCTTGGTCAAGTGGGGTCCTGGGAGGAAATGGCAGTGATCAAATCATAGCCCTCAGAGTGGAAAATGCTCAAGAAATTCACTGAGTAGCCAGATTATTATGACCACCGGACATTTGTAGGCAAATTAGCCATACACTGCATCATATGGGATATGGAAGCCGAAGGCTTGTTTGAACACCTTTGCTGTCTGCAGTTACCAAGATAAAACATCTCCAATTTGCACAGGAACACAAGGATTGGACAGTTGAGCATTGGAAAAAAGTCATGTGGTCCGATGAATCACATTTCCAGTTGCATCATGCAGGTGGCAGAGTGAGAATTTGGCGGAAACAGCAGGAAAGCATGCACCCCACACCCATGAGTGCAACCCTTCAAGCTGGTGGGGGCAGTGTTATGGTTTGGGGCATGTTTTCTTCGCATGATTCGGGCCCTTTAATTCTTGTGGAACAACGTCTGAATAGCATAACATACCTAAGTATCCTTGCTGATCAAGTTCATCCTATCATGTTGATGGCGTATC